GGGATGCTAAACACACAGCACTTTCTGAGGCCCTTGATTATCAGCAACTATGACAAACTTTATCACTCTCAGCGTGGGAAATATAGTGGTGAAATTTTGATTCTTATTCTGTTCCCAAGTAGACATAATGAATATAACTAATAAAATTGTTGTGTTGTGTAAAATGAAAAAATCAACAATCTGGAAAATATCACCCCATCTTGAATATCCAACGCATAGGCATAAACTTTGTCTAGTGAGCGTGAAATGGTTTCTCACCCCAAGGAGAATGTTACCAGAAAAAGAGAACATTTGTCTCCAGCTCCTATAGCTCGAGGGATATTTGGAAGCGAGATAGAAGAGGGGAAAAAAAGTGAGGCGCTGTAAATAGCCACAGGAAAAAGGGCATGTAAGAAGTAGGGGGAAATCATTCAGACAGAACTCTGACTTTCTTCCCACCAAGCGTACAAGGAGGATAGGATTGTCCCTCCCACCACGGTGGTCAAGTAGAGGGCATTTGGAAGAGAACAGACAAGGAAGCCCAGGTCCCTTGGGCAATTATTGTAAAATGGAAATTGAGCAGCTAAAGGCACGGAAGCAGTTTGTGTATAAGTCCTGAGAAAGGAACTGGGCAATCACGGAGGCTAAGAACTTGCCAAAGTTAAAATGTTAAAATGCAGGCAAGCTGACACAGGTGCAGAGCGTACATATACCTTAACAGCTATATTCATAGTCTGGGGAGGAAATGCTGGTACTTGTCACTAGTTCTCATTCAGGGGAAGACCAGTGGCTACAGGGCACAATTCATCATGTAAATAATGTTGAGTATGTCTGTATCCCTTCCCCAAATACATGCATGCACGCACACGCACACAGACACACACTTTTAAAATTCTTCTAAAACTTAAAGATCTTTTATGGATATATTGAAAGGGAAGGATAATGAATAAATGATATCAGTAACATTTTTCACACTCACCATGCCAGTGCAGGGATAGGATAGTCCCATGGTGAGGGAGCTAAAGATCGTGGAGAGACCATTGTATTACGGTTTACTCTGCAGAATAATATTACCACAAACACAGAAGCTTAAAACCACACACATTTATTATCTCACAGTTTCTGTGGGTCAGGAGGCTGGGCATGGGTTCGGTGGGCTCTCTATAAAGCTGCTAACTAAGTGTCAGCCAGGGCTGAGTTCTTATCCGAGGGGTCGATTGGAGAAGGATTGGCTTCCATGTTCATACGGTTGTTGTCATCTTTAAAATCCTTGCGAGCTGCTGGACCGAGGGGCTTAGTTTCTTGCTGGCTGGCTGCCAGAGTTTTCCCTCAGTTCCTTGTCATGTGCCTTGTTCTTTCGGGCAGCTCCCAACATGACAGCTTGTTGCTTCAAAGCCAAGAGGGAAGAGAGTCTTTCATCATGACAGTCCTTCCAATTTTATGTAACATGATCAAGGAAGTGAAATCCTGTCACCTTGGTTGTATTCTGTTGGTTGGAAGCAAGTCACAGGTCTCACCTACAGTCACGAAGAGTGAGTTTTACAAGGGCAAGAATAGGAGGAATAAGTCATGGGGGCCAACACAGAGTCTTTCCACCAAAGCTACTATATGTCAGGAACGTTAACATATTGAATACTTGATCTTTTCAGCTTCGCTCTGAGATGCATATTGTTATTACTTTACAGATGAGGAAATTGAGCCTCCCAGAGGTGAAGTAACTTGCCCAAAGATCACAAGCTAGTAGAAATGCATCAGGAATTCTAATACAGATCAGAACAAGCGTTATTTTTCCTACCCTTCTTTATTCGCCCTTTTAAGGCAAGTGTTATTTATCCTTCTTTCCTGGGAAGACCATGGAATGACCTCCAAGAATGCAACAGGAGTGCGCAGTTGAAATTACTTCCATCTTGGCCTCTGACAGTTGAGTGACACCTCTTTTTCCCCAAAGCCATCACAGTCATCTCTTAACAGAGCTATTTTAGGTTCACTGGCCTCAAGGACCAGGCCACTCGAATCATCTCAGTGAGGCTTATTCTTTCTTGCTCTCACAAAAAACAATCTTTAGAACTCAGTTTAAGAGGGTCCCTGTGATTATCATGTTCTTTCTAATCTAAGTATGGGAATACTTTGATTTGGAGCGAGGAGATATTTTCCCACATTTTTAGGTGAACAAGGTCAGGTGATAGCTGGTTTATAGATACCATAGGAAAATGCACTTGAAAATTCTAGTCATTTCACCAAATCTTTATGTTTAAAGATGTAGTTTTGAGAATACTTTTGATTTTCAAATGTGTGCATATAAAGACATTGGTATACTTGAGACTTGTAAAATAACTCCATATTAAACTATTTGCTATGCCTGGAGCATTACTGTTATTTTTCATTCACTTAAAATTTTATTTAAACACAAAAATAATTTTGAACTTTATTTTGTAATGCATTGATTGAATTTATTGATTTAGTTCAGTTGTATTTAATAGCAGTGTACTGTAATGCAATTAAATTTTTTTTCTAGTAGCCACATTAAAAATATAAAAGAGGGGCTTCCCTGGTGGCGCAGTGGTTGAGAGTCCACCTGCCGATGCAGGGGACGCGGGTTCGTGCCCCTGTCCGGGAAGATCCCACATGCCGCGGAGCGGCTGGGCCGGTGAGTCATGGCCGCTGAGCCTGCGCGTTCGGAGCCTGTGCTCCACAACGGGAGAGGCCGCAACAGTGAGAGGCTTGCGTACCGCAAGGGTTAGGAGAAAGGATGTAAATTAAGGTGTTAGGAGAAAGGATGTAAATTAAGACAGTGTGACTGGTAAGTGAGAACAGGAAATAGTATAGATACCACTGTCCAGAGCTAGAACCTGCCAGACTTTTCCAAGTAGATGCAGATAATATTGTAGGATCCGTGTTAGGAAACTGCACAGGCCAGCACCCACCTTTATTTTTTTTTATTATTTTATTTTATTTTTGCCACACTGCACGGCTTGTGGGACACTAGTTTCCCGACGGGGGATCGAACCCAGACCCCCGGCAGTGGAAGCGCGGAGTCCTAACCACTGGACCACCAGGAAATTCCCAGCACCCATCTTTAGATCTCCTCCAGCTTCTAACAAGTTCTTGGTCTCTTTTTATCAGGTCCTACATGTTCAACCTACTTTCCTCCAAAGTCCCATGTGTGGGTCTAGAAGCCAAACCCACCTGTATTGTCTATTCTTCAGAACAATCTGTAAAAGTAAACCATGTGAAGTTAAAAAGGAACTTAAACACCTTTCTTTATTCCTTCATTCTGCTTTAAAAATAGCAAAGGAACCTTCTTTCCAGGACCCTCCCTTTCTGGCTTCAAGTTTTAACCAGGCTAAAAATGCCCACAAGTGACTCATTATTTCCTGTGAGTAAACATCATCACACAAGCCCTTCAGCCATAAGTCCAGTCCCCAGGCCAGTCACCTGCTGACGAGAGAGCACCTTGTAGACTCATGTAATCAACCAGGGATAGGTCCAAGGTTTCCACCTACTGTGACTAGGAAGATAGCTGAAATTTACCACAAAACAAAATAAGAAGCAAAGAGAAAGAATGGAAAAGAAAAGGGAATATAGAAAATGTGAGGAGAAGACAAGGGAAGAAAATGACTGCTGTATGTGTTTGGTGTAGGCTCTTGGTACTAAAAGCTGGGTTTTCCAAGCTCGTGTTAATCCAGGTCTGTGATGTGGATCTCAGGGGTGAAACGTTCTCATTCACCCATGCAGCCAAAGTCTGCATTATATCAGGAGAAAGATACCTGTCTGCTAGTGTGCTACAAAGAAGTTTTCTCCTATCTCTAAGTACATACAATGAAATGATAAGTTCCTGAGTCTTAGAAATCTGTTATTTGTTTTTAGCATTGTGAGGCTTGCATTTGAAATAAGACTAATAATTTTTTTAAAAAAACTCAAATTGATACTCATATTACTACTTGAATAAATATAACAATGTATGATTCCATATGAAGTCTTCATACATATGTCAATCTTAGAACTTATGTTCTCTAATTTCTGTCCAAGGTCACGTTTAACATTACTTCAGTTTGACTCTACTTTATAAGTTTACAGGAAATTTTCTTTTTTCTAAAGTATTAATAGTGAACAAGTGGTTGGTACTTCTAGATTCTCTATTTGGCATTTCAATTTCAGTCATCATAGGAGTCAAGGACACATTAACTAATGAGAGTTCAGGGTTCAACTGTTCAGATGCACAGAACAAAACCTTGATAAAGGAGGAAAATATCAATAAAAATCCAGATGCTTGGGCTTCCCTGATGGTGCAGTGGTTGAGAGTCCGCCTGCCGATGCAGGGGACATGGGTCCGTGCCCCAGTCCTGGAGGATCCCACATGCCACGGAGCGGCTAGGCCCATAAGCCATGGCTACTGAGCCTGTGC